TTCCAGAAATCCCTCAGTTCAGTTCAGTCGCTCAGTTGTGTCTCACTCTTTGCGATCCCATGAATCGCAGCACACCAGGCCTCCCTGTCCATCACCAACTCCCGGAGTCTCCCCAAACTCGTGTCCATCAAGTCAGTGATGCCAACCAGCCATCTCATCCTCTATTGTCCCCTTCTCCTCCTGCCCCCAATCCCTCCCAGCATCAGGGTCTTTTCCAATGAGTCAACTCTTCGCATGAGGTGGCCAAAGTATTAGAGTTTCAGCTTCAACATCAGTCCTTCCAATGAACACCCAGGACTGATCTCCTTTAGGATGGACTGATTGGATCTCCTTGCAGTCCAAGGGATTCTCAAGAGTCTTCTCCAACACCACAATTCAAAAACATCAATTCTCCCATGCTCAGCTTTCTTCACCATCCAACTATCACATCCATACATGACCACTGGAAAAACCATAGCCTTGACTAGATGGACCTTTGTTGGCAAAGTAATGTCTCTGCTTTTAAATATGCCATCTAGGTTGGTCATAACTTTCCTTCTAAGGAGTAAATGTCTTTTAATTTCATGGCTGCAATCACCATCGAAGTGATTTTTGAGCCCCAACAAATAAAGTCTGACACTGTTTCCACTGTTTCCCCATCTATTTCCCATGAAGTGATGGGACCAGATGCCATGATCTTGGTTTTTGAATGTTGAGCTTTAATCCAACTTTTTCACTCTCCTCCTTCACTTTCATCAAGAGGCTTTTTAGTTCCTCTTCACTTTCTGCCATAAGGGTGGTGTCGTCTGCATATCTGAGGATATTGATATTTCTCCCAGCAATCTTGATTCCAGCTTGTGCTTCTTCCAGCCCAGCGTTTCTCATGAGGTACTCTGCATATAAGTTAAATAAGCAGGGTGACAATATATAGCCTTGAGGTACTCCTTTTCCTATTTGGAACCAGTTCCTATTTGGAACCTTTCTGGATTCCAGAAATCCCTAGCACACTTATATTTCTTTGGGGAAACAGACTGCAAATAAGAGTTAATGTGTTGTCTGGATCCAGTATCTTTCTGGAACCAGAACCAAACATTAAAAAAGGAGTTGTGGGACTTCCCAGATGGTCCAGTGGTTAAGACTCCATGCTGCCATTGCAAGGAGCACAGGTTCAATCCCTGGTTGGGGAGCTAAGCCCCCACAGGCCATACAGTACAGCCAAAATAAATAAACAAAATTAAAATTTTTAAAAAATAGGAACTGTGAGGCAGGATATCGATTCAATACTATTTGGTTTAATCCTTTGTGAAATGGGTTGGATGATAAATGAATACAGCTAATAATGTAAATAAGGGCTTCCCAGGTGGTACAGTGGTAAAGAGTCTGCCTTCCAGGGCAGGAGACAGGTTTGATGGTTCAATCCCTGATTGGGAAGATCCCCTGGAAAAGGAAATGGCAAGCCTCCAATATTCTTGCCTGGAGAATCCCAGGCAGCCTGGCAGGCTACAGTCCATGGGGTTACAAAGAGTTGGACACAACTGAAGTGACTTAGCAGGAATGCACACAATATAAATAAACAGAGCCTCTGTTAGCCTCTAGGATCTCATACAATGGTGAATAATGGATAAACTTCTACAGAAATCATGAAAAAAGAAGTCTCAAACAAGGAGTCACAGCATAACATACAGAAAAGTAAGACAGTATTGGGGACAGGTGAAGGATTTCACGAATACACATTTGAAAAACACTGTTTATAACACTCAGAAGGCTGCTTTGCGATACTCAACAGGCTTAACAAAAGATGTTTCACACAGTAGAAACATTCACCCTGACTCCATTCCTTGTTTTCTGCTCTAAGAAATTTGCTGTAAAAGCCATGGGAATGACTAAAAAGAAAGCACTGCAAGGCAAAATTCAAAGCCATGCCCTGATCTCTAACATTTTATCCTCCACAAAGACATCAGATGCTAGCCAGAGAAACCAGGGAAGAAAGCACTTATGAGGACTTCCCTGGCAGTCCAGTGATTAACAACCCATAAACTCCCAATGTAGGGGCACAGGTTTGATCCCTGGATGGGGAACTAAGATCCCACATGCCATGGGTTGTGACCAAAGCAACCTCCCCCACCAAAAAACCACGAACAAGCAGAAAAAGAAAGCACTTATGATCACATGTCCCCACTAATTTGAGGGTGAGGTGATAAGTAAATTGTCAGGGCTTACTACCTTTAGGAAAATTAATCATTTATTACTTATTATGAATTAGAAACAGAGAGGAAATGAGATTCAGATTAAGGGTAGCAGAAGATGCCACCCCAAAATATGCCACTTTGTTATACTGACTATTTTGAAATGAAGGCCATGGGAAAGCAGAAAAGCCCTGCCCTCCCCCAGAGCAGGACATAATTTTGTAAATGTGTCCCCTGCTCTCCCTGTATCAGGTTGGACAGAAATTAGGGACACAACTCTGAACTCCTATCAGTCTAGAGATGGCACCAGGAGAATTTACATAACAAACTTTACTCATTCTTATTTACCATTAGCTCCTGCATGTGTTTATCTTCCCACAATTTGTCACCCCTGGAATCTCAAAGCCCTTTTCTTTGTCTTGTCACTTCTCTACAGAATTATTACTCTTTGCTCAGGTGCCATATAACTTCCTTTTTTTTTTTTTCTTTCTTCTTTTTAAAAAATTTTTGGCCACACCTGGTGGCATGTGGGATCTTAGTTCCCCAACCAGGGATCAAACCCATGCCCCCTGCATTGGAAGTCGAGTCTCAACCACTGGCCCACCAGGGAAGTTCCCTAAGCTCAGGTTCTAACCACTCGGAGATACTCATCACTGAATGCTGCTGAGTGTATTCACCATGCATGTGTTAACAAGCTTCTGTTTGTTGTCTTGTTACTCTGTCTCTTAGTATAATTTACAGGGTCCCAACCAATGAAACTAAGAAAGGTAGAGAACTAACATTTTTTTCCTTGCCTATAAGGTTTCTGTCAGTATGAATCTGATTTAGCTTGTTTCGGGCCTCCCTGCTTAGTGTGAGAAAGGGAGGGTAAAATCTTACCATAGGTTGGGAGATCTTACAGACACACTAGAACCTTAGAATTGCTGTTTAGTCACTCAGTCATGTCTGACTCTTTGCAACCCCACGGACTGTAGCCTGCCAGGCTCCTCTATCCATGGGGTTCTCCAGGCAATAACACTGGAGTGGGTTGTCATTTCCTTCTCCGGGGGATGTTCCCAACCCAGGGATCAAACCTGCATTTTCTGTGTTGACAGGCTGATTCTTTACCATTGAGCCACCTGGGAAGCCCAGAATGGTACATTCCAAAATAGCTAAAATATCTGATTTTATGTTATTTATTTATTTTTTTAGCGTGATTAAAAGAAAAAAAAAAAAGGACCCCCCTGCTCTCAATTTGCAGATGGAGACACCCAAGCCCAGGTCAGATAATGCAGAAGAGCCAGAGCAGCCCCCAGTCCCCCAGACTTCCGGAAGCTCTGGCCGGATCAAAAGTGACCCTGATCAGGGACTTCACTGGTGAGCCAGTGTCTAAGACTCCATGCTCCCAATGCAGGGGGTCTGGGGTACATCCCTGGTCAGGGAACACGTCCCACCTGCCCCAACTAAGAGTTTGCATGCTGTAACTAAAGAGCTCACATCTTGCAACTAAGACCCAGTGCAGCCAAATAAAAATATAAAGTTCAAAGAAGACGCACTATCTCCTTTCACCATTCTGATAGCCTTCGCAAGTTCTGCTGGCTGGTAGGGTAGCCAACTTCCACTTATGTTGGCTGAACATTAGAAACATGGCTAGTCCTGGCTTGAGGTATGCTGCCAGCTTCAAATGAACTCCTATTTAACAACAGCAACACAAAAAGGTGCCTCTGATTGCTGTTATTTAGTCAGAAGCGCTGGCATGAGCAGGTGCTCAGAACCACCAACACTGAAGAATTAAATTACCGGCAGAAGGAACTGAGCATCAGTATCAAAGGGAGGCATTCTACCGTCACTGCAGGAAAGAAACTCTGAGGACCCCGCCTCCTGCCTACACCCCCAGAGGCCCCTTCCGTATTTCTTCCTCCCTGCCCGGCAGAGGAAAGTGGAAGCAAACCCTCCAAGCACCGACCCACAGTCCTCCTGGCTGGAATTGGGCCCCGGGGTGGGGGGTGAGGGGGTAGCGGCCTCTAAAGGGTCTGGGTGTCTTAATCCCCGCCCCTCGATGAGAAGAGGAGACCAGAAAACTAAAGATTTCAAACGTGTCTCCAGAACTCTAACCCGCACTAGAGCCGCCGCGGGGCGAGGGTGGGGCCGGAGACCCAGCTCCCGACGGCCCTCTGGGGCCCCGGAATCTGCGTCCCGGAGCTTCTCCAGAGGCGCTGATGCTGCGGGCCGGGACCTCCCCAGGACTCGAGGATTCCCTGAACCCGTTGCCCAGAGACCCGCGTTAAAGCAGCCACGGAGCGAGGATCTCCGGGGGAGGGGCTTCGGGTCGGGGCGCCTCCCCGACACCCACGGGCAACCCCATCGTGTCCCCGACTCTCCATGCGAGGTGGCCCACGCCACCGTCCCCCACGCCTGCTAGGAAGTCCGCGATGGAACAGGAGCTTTGGCCGCGTGGACCGGGCACCGGCGGACAGAAGGGAAGACAGACAGACTGGCCGACTGGGAGAGGAAGGACGGGAGGGACCAGGAGACCGTCAGACGGGTGGAGAAAAGGGGAAGGCGGGAGACCGAAGGTTGGGGGGACAGGCGGCTGGACTGAAGGACTGGCAGACGGTCGGAGGTGGAAGACCAACGACAGTCAGATAGACGTTCCGGGGGACGGAGGATAGATGAGGGTGGGGAAGTGGGGGACCTGGCGAACCCGTAGTAAGACTCCAGGGACGCACGGATGCAGGTGAGGGGACGCAGGGAGACGGACCAGCAGGCCAGCCCGGCTGCCTCCGTCCCGAACCAGGCGCGCGGCCAGAACCGGAGCCCCCCCGCCCACCGCCCCGCACTGCCCCTCCCGCTTACCTAGGGCCCGCATGTAGCCCTCGACGTTGTCGCTGCTGAGCAGGTTCCAGGTGCCGCTGAGATTGGAAGGCATGGCGGGTCTGGGGATGGCACCGACAGGGGCGGCGGGGACTGGGAGGCCTTAGTCTGGCCGGGGAGACGGACAGGGCGGGACGCGAGGGGACAGAGCCGGGAGGGGCCTTGCGGGAAGCGCTGGGCACAGGCCTCCTGGAAATCCACTCCACTTCCAGCCTCCTTGTCCACGCGCTCCTGGGCCTCTGTCCTCTTCTGCTTTAACTCCAAAGTGGACGTACCCCACACTGGGATCAGAACTACACTTTCTTCTCTGCCTACATGTTAATACGCTTTTCCCAGGTGGCTCAGTAGTAAAGACTCCTCCAGCAATGCAGGAGACACAGGAGACACCGGTTAGATCCTTGGGTTGGGAAGATCCCCTGGAGAAAGAAATAGCAACCCACTCCAATATCCTCCTCTGAGAAAGCCATGGACAGAGGAGCTTGGCAGGCTCCAGTCTGTGGGGTTGCAAAGTTGGACACGACTGAGCCCGGACACACACATTAATAACCAAGAGATCTCCTTCAAATGCGTGATGGATTGCTGGGTCGGCTGCAAATAATATACCAATAAATCTAGTGCTAGTGGTCTCAATAAATAGGCGGTTATCTTCCTTACCTATCAAGCTGTCTTGGGATAAGTGGCAACTTCGTGACATAGAAGTGGCATCTCTGGACTTCCTTGGTGGTTCAGTGGTTAAAAATCCACCTGCCATAAAAGGGGACATGGGTTCCATCCCTGGTCCGGGAAGATTCCACATGCCATGAGCCATTAAGCAGGTGCCCCACAACTACTGGGCCCCAACCCTAAAGACCATGCTCTGCAACAAGAGAAGCCACCACAAGGAGAAGCCCACACACCACAACTAGAGAGTAGTCCCCCATTCTGCAACTAGAGAAAAGCCTGAGCCCAGCAATGAAGACCCAGCACAGCCAAAAATCTTATTAATTAAAAATATTACATATAAAAAAGTGGCATCTCTGTATTCTCCTGGCCTTTCATCCCTGTTGGTTACCTCACTGTCATGAGTTGGCTGCTGGAACATCCACATTCAAGGTGGGAAAGAAGAGGTAGAGAACCACCTGCCATTGTCCCTTCACCAGATATCTGTTTACACTCATTGACCAAAACCATATCATAGGCTACTTCTAATTGCAAGGGAACCTGGGAAATCTAGCATCTAGTCTTCAGTCTTGACAGTAGAGAAAAGCAAAAGAGGAGGGTGTTGGGGATATGCGCTAACCTATAATATTAACCCCGAATACCATCTCTATAGGCTGGCTCCACGACTTACCTGTTCATTTCTTTTTTTTTCTTTAAAGAAAAAATAATATTTATTTGCCGTATAAACAAAGTCCCGTTGCTGGTTCAGGAGATGTCTGTGTTTGTGTGTGTGTGTGTGTGTGTGTGTGTGTGTGTGTGTGTATAGGGTCACAAATTATCCTTCATAAAACCTAAAGCAAAACTGGCCACCCTGTTGGCATACTCTCATTTATACAAATCTGATGTGTTTTTCTGGGTTTTTCTTTTTAAAGGTAAAAAAGAGAGAAAGAGAACCATGTACACAGCATGGAAGCTTTTCGTCAACTTCTCAACTGTGGCAAGAGTTTCATCTGCTGCCTTGAAGAATTTCTGAAAACCAGCCCTGTGAGGTAAGATGCAGTTGGGCAGAGTTTCTGTGGCCTCCCTCACATGCTGAGTGCTGGCTCGCTCAGGGATCCTCCCCCGGCCCTCACGCAGTCCTACCACCTGGGAAAATGGAGTTTGGAGAAGGAACAAAACTGGAGGAGGATAACAGAATCTGTGGCTTTGTTCTGTGGACATGGGGCATTTCTTTTTTTCTTTTTAAAATTTTTATTGCTGTAGAGTTGATTTACAATATTGTGTTAGTTTTAGGTGTACAGCTTATTTGTCCATTTCAGATCTCTCACATGAGCGCCAGACTCAAGTACATTAATAGCCAACATCTATTGAGTGATTACTATGTGTATTGTCATTTAGCACAAAATCCTACCCATCCAATAGTTATTTATCTCCATTTGAAAAAGACAAATCCTGAGACAAAGAAAGGTTAAGTGACTTACCCAAGGTCATACAGTTGGTGGAAGAGTCTGGTTTCAATCTCAGATAGCCCGATTACCAAGCTCATGTGTCACCTCTCACCACTTAAGGTGCCTCTTGACATCTCCACTTGGAAGTCCTAAAGGCACTCAAATGTAATATAGCCAAAGCAGAAAGCATAAAATAAAATTATTCCTCAGCTTTCTTCATCTCTATAAATTGTACCACTAGTCACCTGTTAAAACCAAAGCCCAGTAAACACTGAATTTTTCCCTTTACTACTCACCCATATCCAATCCACCAGCAAATCCTGTTGGTTCTTCCAACCTAACCCAAGCCACCATCATATCTTGTCTCCTCCCTGGGCTTGTTGCCTCTACTCTTATCCAACCAAACTATTTTCCATTCTGCATCCAAGAAAGCTTTTGAGAAATATAATTCAGATTTCATTACTCCCAAGATTCAAATGCTTCAGTGTGTAGATATTTGAATCTCTTCAAAAATCTGAGTCACCTTTTCAGAGCAACCTTCTGGTATACAATTACTCTGCATCACAACTCTGCTTGTATCATTTGTAATTATCATAGTCCATAATTATCTTTTTTTTTTTTTGCTTTGTTTACTGACTACCTTTTTCATTAAAATGTCAAGAGTAGAGACTGTGTTCATCTTATTCACCTCAATGTATCCCCAGCGCCTGTATGCCTGGCAAGTGATTATTAAATGTTTGTGAATGAATGGCTGTGAACTTTCCAGAGGAAAGATCTACTTTTATTGAGGAAACCATAGTGGCACTGTGCTTCCCTGGTGGCTCAGACAGTAAAGAATCTGCCTGCAATGCAGGAGACCCAGGTTCGATCCTTGGGTCAGGAAGATCCCCTGGAGAAGGGAATGGCTACCCACTCCAGTATTCTTGCCTGGAGAACTCCATGGACAGAGGAGCCTGGCCGGCTATAGTCCATGGGGTCGCAAAGAGTAAGACATGACTGAGCGACTAACGCTTTCACATAGTGACATTCAGTTCAGTCACTCAGTCATGTCCGACTCTTTGTGACCCCATGGACTGCAGCACGCCAGGCTTCCCTGTCCATCACCAACTCCTGGAGCTTACTCAAACATGTCGATTTAGTCAGTGATGCTATCCAACCATCTCATCCTCTGTCATCCCCTTCTCCTCCTGCCTTCAATCTTTCCCAGCATCAGGGTCTTTTCCAATGAGTCAGTTCTTCGCATCAGGTGGCCAAAGTATTGGAGCTTCAGCTTCAGCATCAGTCCTTCCAATGAATATTCAGGACTGATTTCCTTTAGGATTGACTGGTTGGATTTCCTTGCTGTCCAAGGGACTCTTAAGAGTCTTCTCCAACACCACAGTTCAAAAGCATCAATTCTTTGGCACTCAGATTTCTTTATAGTCCAACTCTCATGTTCATACGTGACTACTGGAAAAACCATAGCTTTGACTAGATGGAATTTTGTTGGCAAAGTAACATCTCTGCTTTTTAAAATGCTGTCTAGGTTGGTCATAGCTTTTCTTCCAAGGAGCAAGCGTCTTTTAATTTCATGGCTGCAGTCACCATCCACAGTGATTTTGAAGTCCAAGAAAATAAAGTCTGTCACTGTTTCCATTGTTTCCCCATCTATTTCCCATGAAGTGATGGGACCAGATGCCATGATCTTAGTCTTCTGAATGTTGAGTTTTAAGCCAACTTTTTCACTCTCCTCTTTCATCAAGAGGCTCTTTAGTTCTTCTTTGCTTTCTGCCATAAGGGTGGTGCCGTCTGCATATCTGAGGTTATTGATACTTCTCCTGGCAATCTTGATTCCAGCTTGTGCTTCATCCAGCTGGGCATTTCACATGATGTACTCTGCATATAAGTTAAATAAGCAGGATGACAATATACAGCCTTGATGTACTCCTTTCCCAGTTTGGAACCAGTCTGTTTTTCCATGTCCAGTTCTTACTGTTGCTTCTTGACCTGCATACAAATTTCTCAGGAGGCAGGTGAGGTGGTCTGGTATTCCCATCTCTTTCAGAATTTTCCAGTCTGTTGTGATCCACACAGTAAAAGGCTTTGATGTATTCAATAAAGCAGAAGTAGATGTATTTCTGTAACTCTTTTGCTTTTTCTACCATCCAAAGGATCTTGGCAATTTGATCTCTGGTTCCTCTGCCTTCTCTAAATCCAGCTTGAACATGTGGATGTTCTCGGTTCATGTACTGTTGAAGCCTGGCTTGCAGGATTTTGAGCATCACTTTGCTAGCATGTGAGATGAGTGCAATTGTGCGATAGTTTGAACACTGTTTGGCATTGCCTTTCTTTGGGATTGGAATGAAAACTGACCTTTTCCAGTCCTGTGGCCACTGCTGAATTTTCCAAATTTGCTGGCACATTAAGTGCATCACTTTAACAGCATCATCTTTTAGGATTTGCAACTTGAATTCCATTACCTCCACCAGCTTTGTTTGTTGTGATACTTCCTAAGGCCCATAGTGACACTGCCTTACTCAAAATGAGGCTATTGATTCTTATAAGTACAAAACATTGATTCCTTTGGTGGAATATGACAGGATATCAAATCCAGGGATTAGATAAACTTTACCACTTCAAGGGCACAGAACTATGAACTCTGACCAGATTTCTGGAGCATGAAACCTATTTAAATTCCAGATAACTAAGGGAACAGGACATGGAGAAATCATATTTCCTTCCTATCCTTAAAATCTTATTGTTCTAAATGTTGGCCTGAAAATGAAATTCACAGGAATAACAAATAATAGTGTCAGCAATTGTGCTGATTGGTATGGCTCTTGGCCAGTTTGGGCAAGGACCATCTATTATGGGTAGGGTTGAATGGCTGTTGAAGTAGATTGGACATAGATTGGACTTGCCCATGGAAGAAGGAGAAATCTTCTCCTCTACAGTTCCAAGATATTTCTTCCTGACTAGGACCAAAGTTATCTCTGGAAAGGAAAGACAAATGTTACTTGGCCAAATTTGTGCTTTCTTTCCTTCCATTTGATACTGGCAAAGTGAACCATAAAATTAAGAGCCAAGATGCAGTCCTACACTTGTGGATGAGCAGTGCTTTCTCCTAGACAGTGATGAGCGGGAATGATGAGGGGCATTTGTAGTGGAGGCATTTTCCTGACATTTGATGGAATCTGATACTGGTCCAGGAAAGAATGGTGCATAAAGACATAAAATAAACTTCACCTCATCTATACCTCCCCTCCTAACACAAGGAGGCAACGCCATCAGGGAGCTTGGTCCCATTCCGGGGATAAGACGTAGATACACAGGGGATTTATTACATTTATTTTTGGCTGTGCTGGGTCTTCGTTGCTGCACGGGCTTTGCTCTAGTTGCAAAGAGTGGAGTCCACACTCTAGTTGCGGAGGATGGGCTTCTCACTGCGGTGGCTTCTCTTGTTGCAGAGCATGGGCTTGAGGTGCATGGGCTTCAGTAGTTGGTGCACATAGTCTCAGTAGTTGTGGCGCATAGGCTTAGTTGCTCCAAGGCATGTGGGATCTTCCCAGACTGGGGCTCATACCCGTGTTTTCTGCATTAGCAGGAGGATTCTTTATCACTGAGCCACCAGGGAAGCCCCATTATACTTTTATCACTAATTCTATGTTTGAAAATTTCCCTAACTCTTTTAAACGTGTCATTGTTGTCATGTTACCCACTGGTCTGGAAAAACTTCGGCACTTTAACAACATTGCTGCATTACTGACTGATAAGGCACTTGAGGCAGACATGGATCTGAATCTCAGCACTGAAACCAAGGTGATTTCCTGAGCGGAGTGGGGGACACTGTCCCAGAGGAGGAGTCCAACAGAGACAGGAATTCCCCACCATGTCCTGGTGCTACTGTAACAGGTCAAAAACTGTATGTGGACCCCACCAAGCTTCCCTCCTATGAGCCCCCACATCCCACCCCCCACACTTGACTTCAACCGGGCTGGCTCCATGAATGGGCTTCTCCATACATCCTCTCAGGTTGTTCCTCCCATTTAAACTTGCTGGAAGTGGCAAAAAATAAACCAGAAATAGGATTCCTCAAGTTTCAGATACATGATAAATAACTTGTAGTATTTATTAGGCTTCCCTGGTGGCTCAGTGGTAAAGCATCTGCCTGCAATGCAGGAGATCCAGGTTCAACCCACCCGCGGGTCAGGAAGATCCCCTGGAGAAGGTCATGGCAACCCACTCCTGTATTCTTGCCTGGAGAACCCCATGGACAGAGGAGTCTGGCAGGCTACAGTTCATAGGATTGAAAAGAGTTGGACATGACTGAAGCAACTTAGCAGCAGCAGCAGCATATAAACAAAAAAACCACCACCCCTACCAGCATCAAACAATACACCAGCTCTACACAATTCCTAAACTAAATTCACATAACAGCCAAATATGAGACATGATAGAGAATAAACAATGGCATTTTCCCCTCTTCCTCAATGAAAGCTGCAACAGTTACTAATATTTATTTCCTTGTGAAATTCATTGTCCTAGTTTCATTATACAAAGTTGTCCTAGTTTCATTATCCAAAGAGGAAGCTGTATCCTTAAGGAGACCCCGAAACATGCTATTATGCTGTGGCATTAGCAGCATCCTGGTATGGGGACAAAAAGCCAAGCAACTCCTTCTATGTACAAAGTTGCTGATCCATCAATACCACAACAATAGGACCGTTTCACTGTTACCAGGTCTCCTGGGAGGGTCCCTATGAGCCTTACCCAGCAGGCCCTGAGGTCAATACACTCCGCAGACTATGGGCACTTCTAGGTGAAAAGGCTTCATAGTAAAAAAGAAGTTTCTAGCACTGGAACCTTCCTGCAGTTCACACACACTTCAGACAAACTTGTGTAGTTTTCCAGAAGAAATCAAAGTTAAATTTTGATAACTTCATCGACTTCTAGCAATAGTTCTATTGCTATTTTTCAGTACTGCTCCAACTTTTAAACTCCAAAAAGCTGAGAGGCAGGGGAACAATTCTCATTTTTATGATCTGAGGTCATGACCTTTCATTCATTCAGCAGGTTAAGGGACTGAAACTACTGGGTGCTGAGCTTTGTACTCTTCTCTCTTTGAGAAACAGATCCATTGACTTCAGTAAGAATCAGCCAGGAATGGGGACTTCCATGGTAGTCCAGTGGTTAAGAATCTGCCTTCCAATGCAGAGGACACAGGTTCAATCCCTGGTGGGGGAACTAAGATCCCACATGCCACGGGGCAACTAAGCAGGTGAGCTGCAACTACTGACCCTGGGGGTCTCAGCTAGAGAGAAGTCTGCATGCCACCATGAAAGATCCCACATGCTGCAACCAAGACCTGATGCAGCCATAAATAAATAAATAAGTAAAAATTAAAAGAGGAAGCCAAGAGCCACAGAATTTACATTTGCCAACTTTATTTCCTTTTTAAAACTGTGGCTTCAGATAACACTATTCAACTGCACAGACATAAGTATCTTTTTTCTTCTGCAGAGGTATAAATCCTTCATCCAGAGTAGTGTAGGTATGAAATGTAAATCACTAGGTGTAGGTATGTAAAGGTAAATTATTCTTTCTTTAGAAAGTTAACTTTAGTCCTGTTTCTATCACAGAATGATTTTCATGAACCATAAAACTATTCTAAAAAAAGCTATTTCTGGTCTTTGTGCTTTACTAATGGGTAAAACTGCCACAGAATTTTAATCAGCAGCAAACCATATAACAAGTTTGTCTTTTTAACATAATGTTATGACTTCAATTATTATTTGAGTGTTCTACTTTGGTTAAAGTTCATACAAAAGAACATGAGAAAAATAATAAAAAACAGGCTCTTTTTCTGCTTAAATTCACAAATGGCAGGTTCAAAGGGACTGGAACAGAAACTGCAAGGGTCTTCCAAAACTCAAGAGTTTTAGATTGAGACTGTGGAGCTTTCCTGCACATACCCTTCATCAGGGCCTCAAAACTCTGAGCTAAAGGAACTGCTGGGCTGACTCAATGTGGTATTTCTTATGTCCCTTCATTGTTTGATTATTAAGCTATGAGTAAAGGCTAAGAGCATTCACAGTTCATAAAATCATTGGATGAGACCTCTCATTCTCTTGAATGAGACTCCTTGAACAAGAGACCTCATTCTCAGAGGTCTCTTATGTGCTAAGAGAATCCATGCATAACATGTGGAGAGCAGAGGTTCCCTATCTGTCATGGGCATCAGAAACACCTGTGTACCTTTCTAAACATTCCAGGGCCTGGACCCCTCTTCCTGCCTCCAACAGTGATGCTGCAGGCAACATGCCTTAGCAAAGCTTCGCTGGCCTTCTGAGATGTGTCAGAGAGAACGAATTACTGGTGTGAAGTATCTGCCAGATCATTCACAGCCTGTATTCTGCACAGCTGGAGATAGCTGATTAGTGATGCCTTTTACAAGATCATTATTTTAAGAATTGTTTGGCCACTGTGGGTGAAGGGGGCCCAGAAATAGACATGCATCAAATGTTCATTCCTTTCATAACTTAAGTCAGGATCTTAAGTGGACTCTTAATTTTCTTCTTCTTCTTTTTTTTTTTTTGCTGCACAGCATGTGGGATGTTAGTTCCCAACCAGGGATTAAGACCGGGCCCTTGGCAGTGAGAGTGCAGAGTCCTAACCACTAGACCACCAGGAAATTCCTAGACGTCACTTTTCACACTTCACTTCTCTTTATGTGGTAAAGTCAGGATGCTCTTTTTGAATTGTTTTTGTACTCAGTTTGATAGAATGTTCCTCTGGTTTTAGTGCTGCTAATCTCTTGTTTTAAAGTTAAAGGAATTTGTGGACTTCCCTGGTAGTCCACTGGTTAAGACTCTGTGCTCCCACTGCACAGGTTTGAGCCCTGGTTGAGGAACTAAGATCCTGCATGCTGCATGGCATAGCCAAACTAAAAACAACATGTTGAAAACATTCATCTTAGAAACTTCTAGTAAAAAGATAAACCTAACTTTAATTTACTACTGATTTTACCAAACTGTTAAACTTTATTAGAGGATAACAATTTCTTCCCCTAGTTACTAACACCCACATGGTTTCAAATTCCCAAAAAAGAAGTCTAAAATACCATGCTGTAGAATTTCTTATGCCTTAACTTCTGTAGTGTTTCTCTGCAAAGGAGCCAGGACCACTCCAACATTCCTCTCCTCACTCTCAGAGCTATACAGATTATGCTTTTCAATATATTCTTGGACAAGATCGGGTACCAAGTAGCGAATGCTCTGGCCCCTTCTAAGGGCTCGCCGGATCTTCGTGGAGGAGATGTCATTGGTGATCCATTCGTTCACCAGGTGAATGTTGTTCTGGTGTTTCCACAGCACATCGGATTCGTAGATGAACTTCTGAGCATCATTCCCAGCCCGAGTAATACATATGAGTCCATAGTCTCCCAGGATTTTGGTGATATCCTCACTCTTCCATAGATTGGGCACACCAAAGGACTCCAAAAAATCTGCTCCGCACAGCAGCTTCACCTTTGGCACACCTGGGAAGAGAAAACAGAGCCTCAGGGGTTGCTTTTCTAATAACTCCTGGCATCAAAATGAATGTGTAGGACTGTCCCTGGTGGTCCAGTGGTTAGGAATTCAGCTGCCAATGCAGGGGACACGGGTTCAACCCCTGGTCCAGGAAGACTCCACATGCGGTGGGGCAGCTAAGCCCATGAGCAACAACTACTGAGCCGGAGCTCTAGAGCTGGTGCTCCACAACAAGAGAAGCCACCTCAATGAGAAGCCCACGCAGTAGCTCCTGTTCACTGCCACTAGAGAGAGCCTTTGTGCAGCAACAAAGATCCAGTGCAGAAAAAAAAATGTGTATGTTTGTTTTTCTGAGGATTCAGTTTTTATCAGATTCAGCTTTTCCAAAAAGAGATCCAGACCTGAACCTCAAATATTCAGGTCTACCTACTGCAGGATAAATAAGCTCAGGGTGCCTTTGACTCTCCTTTCCTCCTATCAAAAAACTAACATGGGGTGGAGAGTTCCCTGGTGGCCTAGTGGTTACAATTTCAGGCTTTCACTGCCACAGCCTGAGTTCAATCCCTGGTTGGGGAACTGAGATCCCACAAATCGTGTGATGTAGCCAAAGTAAGAACAAAAAAAGAAAGAAAAAAGAAAACTAACAAGGGGCATTTTCCAGGCACCCACACATATTGAATATGAAAGCAAATACAAAGGGGGCTTGCCCAGCCCTACAGTCTTAACAGCCCTCATTGGTAAGTCCTGGAAAAACATACAGACCTTTCGTTTTTGTTTGCTCTAGGGATTTCTTTTCACTAAAATCTTGTTTTTGTTCAGCCCACTTTCTCTTCCGTCCAGGCTTTTGCAGCACAGGTGAGTTCTGCTGGAGATCACAGATACTGGCCTCCAGCTTCTCTTGATGGTGTCTATAAAACAACAAAGCAACAGAATATTTATTTCTCTTTCTCACAATGCTCAACTGAAATATCATCCTCGTGGAGAGGCCTGAGAGCCTCTGACACAATGTTAAAGGCTGGGAGCTGTTAAAAAGGTGCAACCACAGATACACACAATGCCCGATTACTCAGAATGGACACCTTCAAGTACACAGTACTGTCACGTCAGGATGGATGCCGGCCGAGACACAGCAGCCCTGGGCTCTGGCTGTCAAGAGTGGAAAGCAACAGGGACTTCCCTGGTGGTCCAGTGGTTAAGAATCCACCTGCCAGGGCTGGAGACACAGGTTCAATCCCCGGAATTGAACTAAGGGACTAAATCCCATGTGCCACAACTACTGAAGCCTGCATGGTCTACAGCCTGTGCTCTGCAACAAGAGAAGGCACTGCAAAGAGAAGCCTGTGCACCGTAACTAGAGAAAGTCCTTGTGCAGCAACAAAAACCCAGCACAGTCAAAAATAAACTAAAAAATAAAAAGAATGGAAAGCAGGGAAAATCCTGGGAGCACAGCAAATAGTAGCTATTACTATCCTAAGCTGTATGTGTCTGTGTCATAATGACCAGAGTTAACACTGATTATTTATTATGTGTTAACCACTACACAAAATCCCTTGCATGAATGATTTGATGAAATCTTCTCAACATCTCATGTCATATTATTATTATCCCCATAATGGAGAGGAAGTACAGGCTTAGAGTTTGTACCCCCAGCTTCTGGCAGAGCCTCTTAGACATAGGAGATAGTCAAGAACAACCAGATTGAGTAAATGTTTTGGTTACTATAAAGCAACTATAGTACTGCCAGCATTCTATCAGAATTGTTTATTATACCTATCGAGACACGGAGGACACTGACCAATTTGCACAAGGTCATTTAGCTTATAGATGGCAGAGCCAGAATTTGAATCCTAACAGTCTGGTTCCAGAGCCCACACCCTTGACCACTGAGGAGAATGGCCTGACTGGGACTTCCCTGGTGGGCCAGTGGCTAAGACTCCACACTCTCAATGCAGGGGACCCAGGTTCGATCCCTGGTCAGGGAACTAGATCCCACATGCCACAACTAAAGATCCCTCATGCTGCAATGAAGATCGAAGATCCTGTGTGACTTAACTCAGACCTGGCACAGTCAAATAAATAAATAAAAATAAATATTTTTTAAAAAGAGTATGGCCTGACCTAGTAATGAAGAATTCAAGGCCGAGGATAAGGTCTGAGGGGGTGGCAAGTGTCTGAAGTCTAAGCGGAAGGGCCCACAGGCAGGATCTGTGTGCAGCTTCACTCTGGTGGGCAGCAGGATGCCCATGGCTTTATAGTGGTACAGTTACCCAGGTAAGAGGAGTAACATGCGTGAGAGACAACTGTGGGCCCTGGTGCCCGTAACCCCCTTCCCTCGGGAATGGCTGAGTTGAACCTGGAATGAACAGGAAGGTTACTCTGGAGCCAAAGAGGGCTGGGTGAGGAGGAGGAGCCTGCTTTCTGATGGGAGAACTTCTGGTCAATGAACAAAAGTCACCCTCTTCTCCCTGCTAAGCTTCTGGGTAAGTCACTGGGCTGGACATCGTCTGCTGGCTGGTTTTAATTCCACCCTGAAATCACTTCCCAGAGGTCCGCAGAGGCAGAGAGATTTGGGAGGCTCTGGACCTTGACAGGTCGGCATGGAGACCAGACCCTATATTCCACTGTCCTGTCCCCCACGCTAGGAGACTGGGAAAGTTTAATAGCAGCATTGGTGGCAGCAGGAGCAGGAACAGTTTCCTGAACTTCAGCTGCAGTTAAGGGGACATGATCTTGAAACAAACCACCGCTTCCACTCCTCCAGCCCTTTCAACCTAAACCTAGAGTCCCTTTCTGCTTAAAATGCTCAGAGTGGTTCTATTTCCTATCCAAACCATAACTAATATGGTTAGAACCAGAAGGTTCAAACTCTAAGAGTAGACATGAGACAGAAAAGTTTTTCAGAAAGCCCTTGTGTTTTATACTCAAGAGAACTTGCTTGCTTAGTAGCTCAGTCATGTCCAACTCTGCAACCCCATGGACTGTAGCCCTCCAGGCTCCTCAGTCCATAAGATTTCCTAGACAGGGATACTGGAGTGGGTTGCCATTTCCTCCTCCATGGGTTCTTCCCAATCCAGGGATCGAACCCACGTCTCCTGTGATTCCTGCACTGCAGGCAGATTCCTTACTCACTGAGCCACCGGGGACATGCCACTCAAGAGAACATTAAGTAATAAAGATGTTACTCACTATGGGTTCTGAATCCTTAAACTGGAACAGTTTCAGAGTCCTGAGCACAGTGATCTGTGACAACCCCTCATATGCTGTAATGGAAGTACCATCCAAACCAAGTCTCTTTGTGATCAAGAATCATGGCCTCTCTTCCTTAAATTACCTGTCTTCATCTTCTATATATATATATGTATATATACATATATATATATGTATATATATATATATATAAAACTTTATTTATGGCTGTGCTGGGTCTTCACTGCTGTTCGGGCTTTCCTCTAGCTGTGGCGAGCAGAGGCTACTCTCCAGCTGCAGCGTGCAGTGGCTTCTCTTGTTGCTGAGCATGGGCTCTACTGTGCATGGGCTTCACTAACTGTGGCACATGGGCTTAGTAGCTGTGGTGCTCGGGCTTAGTTGCTCTGTGACACAGGGGAACTTCCCGGACCAGGGAATGAACCCGTGTCTCCTGCATTGGCAGGCAGATTCTTTACTCCTGAGCCACCAGGGAAGCCCAATTATCTGCCTTTGTCTTTTATACTTGAGAAGACTGACCACAGTGACATCATCTTACAGCTTTACCTTTTTCACCAGGGGCACAGACAGGCCAAGGGTAGTTCCTGTTCTTTTACAGGGATGTACACAGTTAACAAGCATGCAAACATCTCAAAACATATGAAAGACACAAAGGCTGAATGGTACCCAGGCCTGTTCGTGTGCTTTGCAGCCTTGTGATGACCCCCTACAGGAACTGCAGGACTTCACCATGAATACCTTAGCACCTTGGCTGTCTCTGTCCACTCTTTCTGAAGACTTTCCCATGTGTCAACTTCTACCCATTTTGAGTTCTTGGTGGCAAGTTCTGCCATGATAACTCGGTGATGGGCAGAGATGAGTCCTTTCTTCTTATATGCATCGCCGACTGGAGAAATTATGCCTTTGATAACTTTATATTTTCCTGGGGTAAAGAATCAGACTTCATGTAAGGTATAACAGATTAGATTTTATGTACAGGAAATAGTATCATCAACATGGTTTCATAGTCACAGATCCCCTCCTCCTTTTTCTTTTTAAACAATTATACAAGTTTATTTATTTATTTTTAATTGTGGTAAAATACACATAACATAAAATTTACCATTTAAACCATTTTAAATGTATAGTATTGTGACATGTTATACAACCATCACTACGATCCATCTCCAGAACTCTTTCAACTTCCCCAACTGAAATTTTGTACCCATCAAAGAGACCACCCATTCATCAGCAGTTTATTAATAAATTTTGATTGATATTGCCAAACTGTCTTATGTATATGTTAGTTGATCAGTCGTGCCCGAAACTGCCTTGTAAAAAGCCTTAATCCATTGAATATCCAAGAGCCCATTCCTTCCCAACACCTGATATTTGACATTATCAAGTTTTAAAAATTCTTGTCAAGGTGATGGGAAAAATATCACTCTATTATTTTAGTTCCCTGATTATTAGTGAGTTGGCACACTCATCCATCTATCAACACATAGCATGATTATTTCCATAACAAAACAAAATGAATCTGTGTATATGCAGGGGAGAAAAAGTTTTCTTTTACCTTCTTAGGGTCCCTGGTCGGGTATAAACTGACAAAGAATAGATTGACAGGAGAAAAGCATATAAATTAACTTAATGTAGGATTTATGTGGCATGGGAACCTTAATAAGGAAATGAAGGGTCCAAGACACAGTTAAACCTAAGTATTCTTATGCTAGGTTTGATGAAGAGTCAACAGTCATGGGGAAATATGATAGAGCAAAGAGTGCAGGAGATCAAACCAGTCAATCCTAAAAGAAATCAATCCTTAATATGCATTGGAAGGACTGATGATGAAGCTGAAGCTCCAATATTTTGGCCACCTGATGCAAAGAGCTGACTCATTGGAAAAGACCCTGATGCTGGAAAAGACTGAAGGCAAGAAGAGAAGGGGACGACAGAGGACGAGATGGTTGGATGGCATCACCAACCCAATGGACATGAGTCTGAGCAAGCTCTAGGAGACGCTGAAGGCCAGGGAAGCCTGGCGTGCTGCAGTCCATGCGGACAAAAAGAGTCGGACAAGACTGAGCGACTGAACAACAACAAAGAGCACAAGGTAAGTGTAGGAGCTTGGGGGAATCCAACAGCGCCTGTCTGCTTGGCACTCCTTTGTCTTCATAGATAAGGATACTCCATTTCTCTGAGTTTAGGGAGGGCATCTGTTGTGTGAATGTTTTACGATCTGCTTCATAGGCTTCCCTTGTGGCTCAGCTGGTAATGAACCCGCCCGCAATGCGGGAGACCTGGGTTCGATCCATGGGTTGGGAAGATATCTTGGAGAAGGGAAAGGTTACCCACTCCAGTATTCTGGCCTGGAAAATTCCATGAACTTTCACTTTCAGGGAAGAAGGGTGGAGGGAGGAGGGCAGAGTGACCTTCCTGCTGTTGCTGTTTCATCAAAATCCTCCAGCTTAAAATGTCCAATAGGCCAAGGTGCCACATTTTAGGGCAGTGTATCCTGAACCCCATCGTTGCTGCTGGTTACTATTCCTACCTGTTCCATTCATGTAGTCCTTGGCCAGCTCAAACAGCCTGAGGTGCATGTTGGTGATAGGATTAAAGGACCCACAAGCAAGGAGAACTACTTCCGTCTTCTCTGAGTTCTCCATGCTGAGAGTTTGAAGTTGTTGATCTAAATGGAAAACTCTGACACTTCTCTTATTGCCTACAAAGGAAAAAGAAAGTAAGTTCAGTTCAAGGTCTTTTGATGTCCTTCAACATACTCATTTCAAGCAAATGGAGGGACTTTCCTGGTGGTCCAGTGGTTAAGACTCTGCACTTCCAATGCAGCATGCTTGGGTTCAATCTCTGGTTGGGGAGCCAAAATCCCACATGCTGCAGTCAAAAAGTAAGAAACAAACAAAAAACATCACCAACAAAAACCCCACAAACCAAACAGATGGAAAAATGTTTGGCTTTAGTGACTAAGCTGGGTGAATTGCAAAAATGGCTTCATTTCCCCACCCTTCCTTTCCAATGTGAATTTATAGCTCTTTTCATAAAGGAATGGAATCTTCCCACCCTCTGTGACTTGCTTTGGCCCAAATAACATGGCACATGGGAAAACATGCCCACTCTGATCCTAGGCCTCTGAGGCATTGTGCACGACCACTCTCTTTTGGACTCCTGCCCCTCCATGAAGCCAAGCCCAGGCCAGCCTGCTGGAGAATGACAGAACCCACAGGAGAGAGCCAGTGCTCCCGCTGACAGACAGCCAATCACCAGCTACCTGGCCGAGGCCATCCTCGATCAGTCAAGCCTCAATCTGCCCAGAAGCACAAGCAGGTCAAGGTGAGATCAGCTGAGCCTGAACCAGATTCAGTAGACCCATAAGGTGGGCCTAGACTTACGAGCAAAAATGAAAGCTTAATGGTGCTCTGACTGCACTACTGAGGCCATGGTTAACAGATACAGTGACATTGTGCTGTGTGCCACTATGTCTAGTCGCTCAGTCATGTCTGACTCTTTGAGACCCTCTGGACTGTAGCCCACCAGGCTCCTCTGTCCATGGAATTCTCCAGGCAAGAAGACTGGAGTGGGTTGCCATTTCCTCCTCCAGGGGATTTTCCCGACCCAGGGATCGAACCTGTGTCTCCTGCACTGCAGGTGGATTCTTTACCTGTTGAGTCATTGGGGAAGCCCCACAGTGGCATTATTATCCACCAAATATAACCTCCCAACAACCCATCCTTCAAACTGTACTTTTCCTCTTAGTCAACAAGGTCATATTACCACTTTCAACTGAATAATAGTTTACAATTGACAAACTCTTCTTGATATTAATTATTCCATTTGATCGTTCCAAAACCTTACTGAAGTAATGCAAGGCAACTTATTTTAAATTTTTATTTAAATTTTTTTAAATTGGAGGAATTCACCCAAATATGTCCTAAAAATAAACTCATACTTCCTATTATTGCTTTTTGATTTTTATTTTATATTGGAGCATACTTAACAATGTTGCATTAGTTTCAGGTGTACAGTCAAGTGATTCAGTTATATATATCCATGTATCTACTCTTTTACAAATTCTTTTCCCCTTTAGGTTATTACAGAGTATTGAGCAGAGGGACTTGGTGAACCTTTCCAACTCATATCACTAATTTCTAATTACTTATCTCTTTTTTAAAAAATAATTTAATTTCTTTTTGGCTGCACTTTGGTGCTATGCACAGGGTTTCTCTAGTTGCAGCAAGTGGGGGCTACTCTCTAGTTGCAGTGTGAGGACTTCTCACTGTGGCAGCTTCTCTTGTTGCAGAGCATGGGCTCTAGAGCACCAACTGAATTGCTCTGCAGCATGTGGGATCTTCCCAGACCAGGGACTGAACCTGGGTCCCCTGTATTGGCAGGTGGATTCTTTACCACTGGACCACCAGGGAAGTACCAGTTCTAATTACTTCTTTAACAAACACTCTATTAACTATCAATAAATAAAATACCTTCACTACTGTGAAGTTTAAAATATTCTTACATATAAAATTATGTTTCAAAATAGTAATTCTGAGCACTTACAAATATAATTTCAATGATGCCAAATTGCTCAAAGCATTTTGGGAACTTTTGGGGAATCACCTGTAGAGCTCCAAGTATTTTTATGATTAATGTAGAAATACAATGAATGACCACAAACAAACCAACATTTATAGGATACTTCTCAACTTATAAACTAATTTCATGCACATTATCATTTAATTTTCACCAAAAAGGAAAAAGAATGGCCAAGGACATTTACTTTATTCCAAATAACCTATTGCTACATATCTAGTTTTTCTAGTTAATTGTCTATCATTAGTCATTTAGGTTTATCTAATTCTCCACTATTACAAACATCTCAAAGAAATAATGAGTTGAAAATGAATTGGAATTTAAGGCTATAAAACCCCTCATTGTGTACTCCTAAGTCTTGCCAACACTCAAAGACCTGCGTAAGGACCATTTATTTATAGCCCAATAGTGTTCAGACCAAACTGCTAGGTTGACCAACTTATTTTTGCTCTCATTGGACAGAGCTGCTGAGTCGCGGTGACCCAGGGATAGAATTAAGGTAACCTGACTCCTTGGTTCTTCAGCACCAAACAGAAAATTGGGAGGTAAATTGGGGCTGTGTAGATTGGAAATGAGCCCTCCTAGCTGAGAAGCTGAGAAATGGATAGTTTCATAGATAACATTTCCATAGATAACAAGAAACTCTGAAGGTTTCTGAGCAATGGCGTGACAACAGGGTTCTAGAAAAACAAGGTGATGCTGGTGTTACATGGTTGTATGACAGATTTTATTTTCTTGGGCTCCAAAACCACTGCAGACAGTGACAGCAACCATGAAATTAAAAGATGCTTGCTCTTTGGAAGGAAAGCTATGACAAACCTAAACAGTATATTAAAAATCAGAAACATCACTTTGCCAATCAAGGTCCGTGGAGTCAAAGCTATGGTTTTTCCAGCAGCCATGTATGGATGTGAGAGTTGGACCATTAAGAAGGCTGGGCACCGAAGAATTGATGTTTTTGAACTGTGGTGTTGGAGAAGACTCTTGAGAGTCCCTTGAACAGCAAGGAGATCAAACCAGTCAATCCTAAAGGAAATCAGTCCTGAATATTCATTGGAAGAACTGATGCTGAAACTGAGGCTCCAGTACTTTGGCCACCTGATGCAAAGAACTGACTCACTGGAAAAGACCCTGATGCTGGGAAAGTTTGAAGGCAGGAGGAGAAGGGGGTGACAGAGGATGAGATGGTTGGATGACATCACCAATTCAAGGCACAATGAATCTGTGCAAATTTCGGGAGATAGTGAAGGACAGGGGAGCCTTGAGTGCTAAAGTCCATGGGGTTGCAAAGAGTCGGACACAACTTAGTGACAGCAGGAAATGGCTGTATGACCCTGACCTGACCATTTAACTTGTGTCCTCATCTGTGAAATAGAGATAATGGCAAAATGATATGGCGAAATGCTAATCATATTGCCTGGCACAGTGTCAAAATAAATGGTAGCTATTATTTGTGAGGAAAGTGATAATACTGATGTCAGTGATGCTATCGGCTTAACTGGAAGGGGAAAAGCAAGATAGGAAGTTGAGTTAAAAGTAATGAGAACTTCTCACCAGCCCAGGTTGGGTGCATGAGACAAGTGCTCGGGCCTGGTGCACTGGGAAGACCCAGAGGGATTGGGTGGAGAGGGAGGTGGGAGGGGGGACCGGGATGGGGAATACATGTAAAAAAAAAAAAAAAAAAAAAGATACACTATGGTTGTGATAAAAAATAAATAAATAAATAAATAAATTAAAAAAAAAAAAGTAATGAGAACTTCAGTTTAAGTACAGTCAGTGGGAATGGAAATTAGGAAACATGTAATAATAAATACTTGAGGTCTACTCCAAACAGTGGCAGGAATCACAGGGACACTGCTAACTGTGAATAAAAAATAAAGGGGAGAAGGGTCAATAATGCTCCACACAACATTAAAAAAGAGTTCATGGGTTAGAATGATTTAAATGTACCTTTCAATTATCATCCGAAGGATGACACCAGGATTCACCTGGGGCTTATTCCCCCTGCCCACCCCATACCTATGCAAACAAAGCACCTATGGTATTATGGGGTGGTCTGGGCCCACAAGGAAATTAAGAGTTTCTGGCCAGTTACTGAGCATGCTCTCAAGGACCCTGATGGAGTCCAGCCTTGGCTCTGGTCCCAACCATCTCAAGTTTCAGGTACCACTCTCCAGGGAGACTGAGCAGGTCCTGGAGGGAGGGAGTTGCTCGTTGTTCAGGGAAGGAAGGATGGAAGAGCCTGAAGCAGACCCCCTGCCCTTGGGGATGGGCTCAGGTTTCCAGGTCATCCCTAGGGGAAGGGCTGAGAAAGGAAAGCTGATCTCTCAGCTTAAAGGAAGCTTTCCCTCTTTTCATATTCGTGACCTGTCTTAAATATCCAGCTCAGTGTTACTAATTAACTGTTAATAGCCAGCTTTAGACTTCAGACCCTTAAAGCCATAGAAGAATCAAGTTACACGGAGCTCCTATCATAGCCTAGAGTGGCTTTAAAAGAACTAGGACCTGTCCCTTTCCCCTGGAGAGAACTTCCTCCGCATCCCCCCAGGGTTCGAAGGGCTGGTGCATAGGGATGGAGGCTCTGGCAGGTGGAGAAGAGGTCTAGAAGCTCTAACAGGACTGTTCCGGATCCTCCGTGCCCTTCTCCAGGTGCTCAAGGGCCCAGGTCACCATGATTCACTTCTGTCTGGCTCACTCAGCCTATCGTTTGCACTGTTGGCTGCCAAGATCTCACCAGCTCAGGCTGTAAGTGTCCCTCCCCAGCCCACTGTGGCAAAAAGGTCATTTCTTCCTGGGGCTGTCTTGAGGCTTAAGGGCTTCCCTGGTGGCTCAGATGGTAAAAAATCTGCCTGCAATGCAGGAGACCCAGGTTAGATCCCTGGGTCAGGAAGATCCCCTGGAAGAGGGTGCGGCAACCCACTCCAGTATTCTTGCCTGGAGAATACCATGGACAGAGGAGCCTGGCAGGCTACAGTCCACGGGGTTGCAAAGAGTCGGATACCATTGAGCAACTAACACACTTGGAGGTTTAAGGAAAGTTACTTTCTATTTTATTTTATTTTTT